TAGACCTGCAAAAGCTAGGGTTGAATAGTATTCTTTTTCATGCTAAAACTTTAGATTTTTGTTTGAATATATATAATAGTAATTGAATTAGGCCTAGTTTTTGTTACATTCTCGCTCCAATCTTGTAGATTTAGGTATGTGTGGACGGGGAAGTGGAGACGTGCTGAAAAATTGCTCAGAAAACGGGTATTCTTTCTTCATCCTGTTCACACTCTACCTGCTTGGGAAGTGGCTAATGCAGACCTGCTGGTGGGATTGCTTCATACCGGTGGTACGTTTGGACTAGCTCAAAGGTATAAATCTTACTTTAATCACTGAAAAGTGTGTCCCTAAATAGTAGACAATCCAATTCTCTCGCTTCGTAATAATCAACTTTAGAAAATGGAATGAATTGGAATCAAAATATAGAGATTAAAATTCGAAGTTACCCTTTACTTTCCTACCTTTTAGATGTTAAATAGAGCAGATGAAAAGTAGATGAGTTCATGGTTGATGAGTTAGTTGACATTTAGAATCGGAACAAAATATTGTTTACCTTTTAGATGATGAATAGAGTAGATAAAAAATTTAGATGGGTTCATACTTGATGAGTTAGTTGACATTTAGAGTCGGAATTTAGCTGAACAAAATATTGTTTGAACTTTTTAGAATGTCTCATACCAATAGAGATGTATTCCTTACTCATCTTCTAAATTAACCAATGTGTGACTCCCTCCTAACTATCTCGAACAAGTAAAACACATATTTAGCCTATATTGTTTTGGGTTGCTTTTTTAGGTGTGTTTTTTTTGTTTGTTGTTTGGGAGGGGAGGGATGGGGTGAAAGAATGGAGTGTGTGGTAGCAGTTTGTGTCTTGAAAATTCTCATCAATGTCTGATGTCCTTGTGAGTGAGCACAAAACAAAAGTGCCTCGTCCTAGACTTACTACAAGTAATTAATATGTGTTGATAATAGTAGTAATAGGGTTGTGTAGTGGAAATAGTTTGAACAGTGGTGGTGGTGGTGAGTAGTATTGTTGTGGTTGAAAGTTGAAGGGCTTAGTACTACAACACAGTAACCTTCATAGGATTGGTGGGAAAGGAAGGAAGCAGAGGCAGAGGAAGTTAACACAAACAGGACATCCCTTTCAATTACTTTTTGCAACCCAAGAAAACAAAAGGATTGGAGTTTGGACTTTACACACAGAACATAAAGCGAGTGGATGAGATGGTGGCCCATGAATCATGTGGCGCTATTGGGGAACACAGCCTGGTTATTAGCTACTACGACACATCAAACCATTTTAATACCTATCCATTTCTCGTCTTCTTTTGAATCTCCTCTCATTTAACCAACCACTTTTCACAAAACTATCCCTCAAAACACAAAGATATCAATTACAATTACCATCTTAAATATCACGAATTAATCTTCCACCTTGCCATTGTTGAATTTAAATATGTATATGTAGTGTATTGTTTTATTAGGTTAAATTAATAAAATACCTCTGAATGGTTCGAGGGCTACATAGGCTTATGGGGAGGCTCTATAGTGTATTTTGTTCGAGAGAAGGATTGCTGAGGATTGTCGAAGGCTCCATAGGCCTCAAGAGAGGCTCTATAGTGTACTTTGTTCGAAGGGAGGGTTGTTGGGAGGGAGTCTCACGTTAACTAATTTAGAAAATGATCATGAGTTTATAGGTAATAATACTATCTCCATTGGGTATGAGATATTTTGGAGAATCTCAAAGCAAAGTTGTGAGAGATTATGCTCAAAGTAGACAATATTATACTATTATGAAGACTTATGGTTTCTAGAATGAACTTTGGATTTTGTCCTAAAAATACTCTTAATTTTTTTTTTTAAACAATACTATGTACTTTTGGATGATTTTTTTTTTTTTTTTTGTTAAAAAATACTCTTATTATTAACTCGGTTTAGAAAATGCCTATAAATTTTTAAAAGTATAATTAATACCTCTAATTTTTATATAAAAGTTTTAGAAGTTCTTTTTATATAAAGTTTAAAATATTTTTAACATCAAATTGAAAAGATGAAGATAGATAATATATGAAAATCTATCTTTTCAATTTTTAAGGGTATGATGTTAAAAATATTTTAAACTTTTTTTTAAAAGTTTAAGGACATTAATTCTATTTTGAATGTTTATAGATATATTTTTAAAAATTTATTAAAAAATTCAAATGTATTTTTCAAACAAAATATAAACCATTTTCATCTCAAACTAACTAAAACGAGTAATTTTCTTTTAAAATTTAATATTGTTTTTAAAATTTTTGGAGGTTGAAAGTACAAATTTAAATATTTTTATTAATTTAGCTTGTGTGTTCTTTTGTTGCCGCATTGTTTTTGTTTACATTTTCTTTGGGGGTTAGAAATATATATATATATATATATATATATATATATATATATATATATATATATATATGTTTATTATTTTTCTTTTCTCACTTTAGGAAACATTTTTGTGATCGTGTGCAAGATTTTAGGAAGAAAATAATTTAATATTTCTTCTTTCCAGTTTTGAGAAGCATAAATAAAAGTATTATTAGTTTATGTAAATAATATGTAATAAACATAAAATTAAGGAATACAACATACTAAAAATATAAACATAATAATACTGCTAATTTCCAACTATAAATATTTAGTCGAATCTCAACTATTAATAATTAATATACGAAACACGTTATAATTAGCACACTATTATATTATGTTATGAATAATTTAATTTGAAATTATATTTCCTGAAATATTATATTTATTTTTTTAATGTTGAAATAATTATTTAAAATAAATATGTTGAATTGAAGGATAGTAAAAAATGATATAATATTGTCAATTTTAAACATAAGCTCTCGTGGCTTTGTTTTGGGCTTCTTCAAAATACCTCATACCAATAGAATAATATTTTTTGATTATAAATTTATCATAAATTAGTTGAGGTAAGACTTTCATCCAACAAAAGAAATCCTAAATGTCAAAGAGAAGTTCGAAATTTTAGAGTTTATTAGATACATAATAATCTTGTATTTGGGTGGGTTAAATTTCCTCTTTCACTAGGTAACATCCTTTTCACCCTACGGTAAAATTTATGGAGTGGAGGAGTAAAAATTCATAGCCATATTATACAAATTCATTCCCAATTATAGTCCCTTTCCTTAAAATTTCCCTCAGTTTTCTTTAAATAATCAATTTTTTTTTATATATAAAAGAACAACAAAATTGGGAAACTGAGGGTTAGAGAATCTGTATTAAAGAAAACGAAGAGAGAAAATTATAATAAACTTTATTTATTTAATTTATTTTGACAATAATTACATAAAAAATTTAGATAATATAACAAAAACACGTGGAAAATAGTAAGCCTAGAAAATAAAATGTTAAATTCCTACAAAATTAGAAGAAAAACACGTGGAAAATAGTAAGCCTAGAAAACTAGAGAGAGAAAGAGAAGAGGTTTTCCAGTTTTAAGGACAGTACAATCTGGGGAGTGGGTTTGTCTCTTTATTTTGTATATTAATACCATATTTTGTGGATAATAGAGCCCCATTTTACACTATGCTTTTATTTTTTTATTTTTTTATTTTTATATTAACACCTTTATTAAATTACTAATTTATGCCCTCATCTTTTTTATTTTATGTTTATTCCACTTCTAATTTTTTTTAAATATTAAATAATATTTCTTTTATTTATTTTACGTCTATTTCCTTCCATTTTTGGTGCTATAAGTTTTTACATTTCAAATTTAAAACAAATATTTGAAATATGTATCGAATTACAAAAACAAAAACAAATTTTTAAAAATTATATTTATTATAATTATTATCATTTAAGTTGGATTATAAAGTGAAAGAGGCAAGAGCTTTGAATTGGGGAGGCCTACTTACTCACTCCCCACACCTTCCCACCTTGGCTATTGTCTTTCTCAAACTCACTTCAATTCCTTCCATTCCCGAGCGGAATCAGATGCGTCTCTATCTTTTTCGAATATTTTATATTTAAGTTTGAAGAGATTTTAATTATTAATATAATATGTATTGAAATAAATAGGATTTGTTTAAATAATTAAAAAAAAAATAAACAATCAAACCCGCTAACCCAACTTGAAAACCCTCTCAATAGAGGATTGTGACTAATAATTTATTTATGTGATAGATTATGGTATATTATTGAGCAAACGACTCTTGTTGGTTGTAGGAGTTAGACAACTCCAACTACACCCATAACTTCAATGGTTAATCAAGCAAGTCCGTTTGTTGAAGTACCTAGAACACCTAAAGACACCCGGTACAATAGCCTTGATAAAGACACCACCTCAAGATATACCTTATGATCGAAGTTTTTTGATTAAGGAGAGTGGAGACATGCATGATTTTACGAGACTTGAACCACTTAAAGATAGTAGAGTAGTAGATTATGAGACAGCTAAGTGTGGTGGTTGGAACTAGTCTAACCAATCCAAAATTTTGAATTAGCAACACAATCGGGGTCGAGCCGGAAAGGAATTGGTGCATGGGTGTGTATTTGCATGGGACCTATATTAATTTCAGAAGCATGCAAATATATAAATATATAAATATATATATATATATTAAAAAGAAAAATACAAAGGAACTGGTAAAAGAAAATCTCAATAATTGAACCAAATAAGAAAAATTTAGATTGGGAGAAGAAATAGATAAATAAATAAATAAATAAACAAATAAATTTTGAAAAAAAAAAAAAAAAAAGGGGTCAAGAAGTACGAGTAGTCAAAAACAACAACCTGAAAAAGGCACTATTGGGCACCCGACGCAATTTTAATTATTATTTGTCCTCGTGTGCAAGACTTCCACCTTCATCCCTCATCGGCTCCACGTGTAGGGCTGTGGGTTAATCACGAAGCATCTCGAGGGGCATTCCCGTCATTTCGTCTTCGTCTTTCCAGAGAGCAAAGGACATTTTCATGGACCTTGGCCCCAAAAGGTGGATTATACAGAGAAAGTAAACAACCAAAACCCTTCCTCTCTCTGCTCTGCTTTTTTCCACTCAACTTTTTCACACTCAGATACCGTAGCCTTCGGACACAAATCCACACCGTTTTTCTACCATTGTTTTCAAACCCCAAACCCCAGAGAATCGGAAACAGAGACGCCGACGCCGACGCCGACGCCGACATACACTCTAGTCCTATTCCGCCATGTCCTTAACTTGAGTAACAACCAACCACACACACAGAAAACAGCCATTTTCTCCGTTTCCGTCCGACCCACTTTCTTGTTTTCTTTCCACGGCCCATGGCGGAGACCGGCGTCTACGGCCGTTTTCCAGGGAGTTTGGACCCGACAGCCCAAGAGTTTCGGCCGAGATATTCGACCACTGTGTTTATGCCGCAACCCCACCAGGTTTTCTTTCCGTACTCCTCGCCATATCCACCAATCGGTGATGTCCCTCTTCTGCCGTTCTGCGAGGGTGATGTAGGTTACGCGCCGTTTCCAACTCCGGCGCCGGCGTACATACCAGTGCGGTCGCTAGGACAGGCGGTGTCGTCGGTTGCGACTCGGTCGTTGGTGGTGAGTTTAGTTCCTTGCGATGTAAGCGAGACGATGGTGAGAAGAGAATTGGAGGTGTTTGGGGAGGTTCGAGGAGTGCAAATGGAAAGGGTGAAGGAAGGGATTGTAATCGTCCATTTCTATGACATTCGGCACGCCGAGAGGGCCTTGCGAGAGATTCGGGATCAGCACATGCACCATCAGTGTCGCCTTCGTAACTATTTTAACAACAACAACAACAACAATAACCGTTTCTTCTTTTCAAATTCCGCTCCTCAATTCCCTGATTTCCCTCTCCCTCGTCCTTCTCCGGCGCCTGGCCTCATCGCCGGCCATGCTGTCTGGGCCCAGTTCGTCGTTCCGGCCAGTAATGCTGTTCCGGCTGGGAAGAATCAGGGAACTATCGTCGTCTTCAATTTGGACTCCACTGTTTCCACTTCCTGTCTCAGAGAAATCTTCGAGGCTTTTGGTATTCTATTCAACTTCTTCTTTCTGGGTTTGTTCTTTGATTTTTGTTTGTTCGTAAGGGATCTGAATACGACGTGTTTTTGGGGTTTGTTTTGCTTGTGGGTTAGATTTGTGGGGACTGGAATGTGGGGTTTATTCATTTATATTTATATTTATATTTATCTTAATCTTTGATGGGTCTCTTTTGCTTACTTTCTGTCTATTCTCTTTGTCTGACTACAACAAAATCTTTATAAACATGAAATGAACTCTTCTTACTTTTCTTATTTGAAATCTCTTCTGTTCATCGCTGGTGTTTCTGTTTAATTTGAAGGTCCTGTTAAGGAGTTAAGAGAGACGCCATTGAAGATGCAGCAAAGGTTCGTTGAGTTTTTCGACATTAGGGATGCTGGGAAGGCTCTAAAGGAGATGAATGGAAAGGACATCAATGGGAAATCAGTAGTGATTGAGTTCAGTCGGCCGGGCGGCCATGGCAACAAGTTTTTCAATGCTAACTTGACCGCTCCGGCCATCTGCGGCTCGAATAATATATACTCTAGAAGTCTGAAGTCCCCACCCCCTCAGCCTCCGCCGCCACCGCCTCCTCCCACGCCGCCGAGGAATTTCTCAGGTGGGGCAGCTTCAAATGTTCCGCCGCGCTGGTATTACTCAAAACCCCATAGTTTCTCTAGGAAACTGAATCCGCGGAAGGGGAGTCGAAGCCCGAGAAACCCCAGGAAGGGGTTGGAGTCCGTCGATGTGAATGGAAAAATGGCGTCTCTCGATTTGGAAGGCGGCGGTGCGTGCAATAAAATCGACGAGAGAGAATCGTGTGAGACATTGAGAAAGAATTCAAAGATCAGCCACAGTAGTCCCGCTGTTGCTGCCGACCAACAGCCACAGCAGCTGCAGCCCAGTAGGAATAAGCTAAGGAAATGTAGACAATCCAGGAAGTTCGACTCTCGATTCCTTATAAACGACAACAACATGGTGGAATCCGATTGCAGAGATTCAAGAACCACTGTGATGATCAAGAACATCCCCAACAAGTACAGGTTCGAGAAGAAAACAACCAATTTCGCTTCAAATTTCAACTGCTACGTTTTCAAAAATTTATGGGTTGTTTTTAATTTCTGTAATTAGACATGGGTATCTTTTTTTTATTGGTATAGTTGTCTGACTTGGGTGCAGTCAGAAGTTGTTGTTGAACATGTTGGACAACCACTGCATTCACTGCAACGAGCAGATGGGCGACGGGCATAGCCAGCCACTTTCCTCCTACGATTTTGTATATCTACCCATTGATTTCAAGTGAGTAATTGTGTGTATCTATTTCAAGAACTACTTCAAAATGATGCATATGAGAGCGGTGATTATGATTTGCAGCAACAAGTGCAACGTTGGATATGGGTTTGTAAACATGACCTCGCCGGAGGCCACATGGAGGCTGTACAAGGCGTTTCATCTTCAACCTTGGGAGGTTTTCAATTCCAGGAAAATCTGTGAAGTCACCTATGCCAGAGTTCAGGTGTCTGATGATCATGGATTCTTGTTTGTTTTGTTTTGTTTTATGGGTTTTTTTTAATATTTGAGACAAAATCTGAAGGGACTGGAAGCACTAAAGGAGCACTTTAAGAACTCAAAGTTTCCATGCGAGATGGACCACTACCTGCCAGTGGTGTTTTCACCGCCTCGGGACGGGAGGGAACTGACGGAGCCACTGCCCATTGGCGGCCAGAAGCAGCAGCCTATCACCATTGGCCTCTCGACTACTCCATCTTCTGGCAGCGAAGATGATGGGGCTGCTGCAACTGCGACAACAGTGGTTGACCAACAGGAGGAAGCCGTGAATGGAAGCAGCAGCAGCAGCAGTGGCAGCAGCATTGGGTGCAGTAGTAGTAGCCAAAGGTGCGGTGGCGTTGATGAAGAATACGACGGTGATCAGTATGAAGTATCCTAAAAATGGGTACAAAATGTTGATAGAAAGAAAGAAAGAAAGAAAGAGAAGGAAATGTTAGTGTGAGTGGTGGTGCAGCAGCAAGCACAGCTACCACTTGGGTTGGGTGACTTGCCTGGTTGGCGCCAATGGGTTCTTCCACATAGCAGCAGCAGCAGCAGCAGCCAGGTTGGTGGAAGGAAGGTGAAGGCTTTAATTTGGGTCTTTTCCTTGTATTAATTTCCTCCCCCATGCCTTACACACACTATTTGTGGCAAAAGTCCGTCCCCAAAAGAGGCATCATCATCGCATCCCTCTTTGTTTCTTTGCTGTTTATGTCTTATGTTGTTTATGTCTTACGTTTATGTTCATTTTGATCGACATAATATGATTATGTTTCTTTCCTTCTGATCTCCTAATCTTTTACTCCCACACCAACCCATGGATATTTCTAAAATGTATACTCTTCCCGTCGTGGAGTTGAATCTCTTGAATCAATCCAAAGATTCGGCGAGTAATCTAAATAGGTTATAAACTTCCATTTTAAACATTCACTCGTCACAATGCATTCTAATTTGATGACATTGAAGAGTAGGGAGGGTAATTTACATTTTGGTGGTGCCATGTCAGTGAATGCAGTGGGGTTATGACACGTGGACCAGGTGATGCAGCCCACGTCATGGGTAATGTATTATATGGATATGGATGTGGGAGTGAGTTTCAATGTAATTTGAAATTGCTGACACAGAAGAACCCCCTTTATTCATATTAAGGTTTATTTATTATTTTTATTTCTTTTATTTCTTTTGGGTTTTTGGGGTTCCTCATAATTGACAAAACAAACGCTGTAATTAATGCCACCCACTATTCTTTTATTTATTTATTTATTTATTTATTTATTTATTTAAATAATAAATAATAATGATGTGGAAATTAAAGATTTGATGAAACTAGGAACTCTATCCTAACCATGTGGGGTTGTGTGTGTGTGTGTGTTTGCGCCTATTTTCAAAGTGTTTTGTGTTTGTGTGTTTTTTTTATACACCCAAGACCGCACGCTCGCCCACTCTCTTTCTTTAATCCCTCCTTTCACTCAAATTTAATCTCTACGTCTATATTCAACCTGGATCAATCTAACTCGAACTTGAACTACAGTGATTGGGTTGGGTTGGGTTGAATTAACATTTTGAATAGGGTTGGATTCATTTCTTCTTAACCTGAACCGAATCGATTCGATTTCAGGTTTGTGGTAAACCCTAAAAGAGTCTTTTCTATGTTTTATTTCTTAGATTAGAGCTTTAAACTTTCATATTTGAAGATATAGGTTAAAGGTTAGTACTTTGACTAGATTTTTTAAGTTTCGAAATTCAGATTGAGACGAAGAAACAAAAACAAAAATACAAGACGAAACCCACATGCACAACAACATATACTTACCGACCGACGCACTTAGAGGGAGGTGTACATTCGTTCCCTTTTTAACACGTGATGCAATTCTGTTGGCAAGATTACGAATCATGTCAGGTCATTTGAATCCTCCCAATGGTTCTGGTAGCGACGTGTGTACTCTTTTGCGCTCGGGGCGCATCTCTGTTGTTTTGCGACATGTGTCCCTACATACTCTTTTGCGCTCGGGGCGCATTTCTAGATTTATTTTATGATTTGGATTCTTTTTCTTTAGTTCCAAAATCCTTATGAACAATGCCGCCTCCATACCCATCGCCCACTCACCTCCGCCAGCCCATTCTATTCCAAAAAAATGGGCTTGCAACCAGTGCTTTGGATAGCCTAGTCCAACATGCCTTGGAATAGATGATGGTTACTTTTTAAGCACTTAGAAGGTCGTTCTAAACACGATGATCGTCTTCGTACACTGCCCGTTGGTGTATTTGTCGATCTAAGTCGATGATAATAAATGCAAGAAGAAAACTCTGCCTTTAAGTTCTAAACCAACCACATGATATTGATAGCATGTGATGGAAGTATAGGCACCAAGCCCTGCATTTCTTTAGAGAAAGACAAGACAATGACTTTAAACGACATTAACATGTTAGTGTTAAACAATCAAATCATGTTGGATGGTTCATGTTGATCACCAAAAGCATACATCAAATTTGACATGATCTAGGTTCATGAACAGTGACTTCTTTAATTCTCTAAATAAAATATGGGATCCTTATTTAGAAGTAAAAAACAAAAGGGATAGTGTTGAAACTTCCTGTTCTTCTGTCATGGAGTTGAATTTTCAGAGGAATCTTCATATGTTTTGAGCTCAAAACAAAACAAAACATACCCATAAAACTTTGTTCCCCATTGTCATCTTCTCAATGCAACAATGTTTTGTCAAACTTATGAACAGAAATGTTCTCTCTCGTTTGTTTTTTGGCGTTTAGAGATGTTCACAGGATAGAAACCGCCTTTTTCATTCTTATCTTCATGAAATTCTCTATTTATTTTTGTGGGAATCAAAGACGAGGATTTTCTACAAAGAATTCTTCCTTTCATTTTTTGCATATATATTTTTAAATATATACAAAACTAACTTATTGTATATAAAAGTGGAGTGAGGTGAGAATAGAACAGAGTTAAGGATGGAGAGACGGGAACATAATCTTGGTCCCCGTTTAGCTAACGAGGAATAATCTCTTCCTACTCCTCCTCCACTCTTAGCTGCCTACGACTAGTATATATTGTTTGCTTTGACTTCTAAATCCACGTCTAACAGATATGCATCGTCATCAACTTCACAATTTTAAAATATGTCTACTAGAGAAAGTTATACACACGTTTATAAAAACATGTTTTATTACTCTCTTCCATCGATATGACTTGATTTTATCCGTGGCCGTCCTTGGCTCTTAAGAGCTTATTATCTCAACAGAAAATATCTGTTGGACTGTTGATTAATAGAAGGGGGGAAATTTGGGTTCAATTTCGTACAATAATTAATGTAAAAATATAATTGAGAAAATGGTCCCCATGCAATAAATAATCACATCTTCCAACTACATATTCATAGAAATAATAAACCCACATTAATTATCATAAATTTGAAACAGATTATAACATATATTAATCTATTTATCCTATAAAATCCAAATAATGATTATAATCTACGAGGAAATTCCAAAACCAGATTCTTAAGCATGGGTCATTTAAAAAAGTACCGAGAACGGTCGAGAAAATATACTTTATAAAATGATTGGAGGTCTCATTTATGTTACGTCCTTACATCATGTTCGTCTGTGTTTATTGAGCTATCTTCACTTTAATGTTATGTAGTTTGCTTTCGAGTGAAAACATAGCTTGAAATTTTTTTTTTTTTTTTTTTTTTGAAACATATAAATAATTCACGTTAATTAATTTAATTTTAAAAAAATTAAAACTCTAAATAGGTTAATAATCTATTAAATATAATATTTTGAGGGTCCCACTTGTTGTAACAAAATGGGCCTCATCTGGGCCCACAATGAGAGGGGTATTTAGGAAATTTCAAACAAAAGAAAAATCTGTATTCCCATTGCCGCGAAGCTCAACGTCCACTTGCCTCACCTTGACTGTCACCTTCCTCTCAGTCTTCCGTTACCTTTTAAGCTCAACAAATTACCATTTTCTTTTATTTTTAATTATTAATGACCCTCTTTTTCTTATTCCGAAATTGACCCTACGCTGCCTTCATTCTTTCTTACATCGGACGCGCCGTATAGTGAGGACAATCCCTTATCATCTCCACGTGGCACTCTCTCATTGGACATCTCCTACACTCTTTTTTGTTCCTCTATTTATACCTTTCCCTAACTCGGAGTCATCACCATTTCTTCATCTCCTCCCCTTTTCCTCTCTTCCACTCTTCCTCGCCGGCATGAGGCTCCGATCATGGCTACTCCCCTGCTCCACCGCCGCCAAACCCAGTTGTAACAAACCGCCTGAACCCTCCTCCTCCTCCTTCTACTTAAGTTCCGACGGAAGCAGTCTTTCAGAAATGTCGGCCAATTGTTCGTCATCGTTGACGTCGACGCCTAGTTCCGACACTAGCTATTCCAGTCTCCAAACGAATCTCTCCCTTCAATCTCTACCGTCCATTCCATCACTTCAAAAACTCCCCACCATCACCGATGCTTTACCCGTCTCTGTTTCTCAACACCACCTCGCCTCTTTCAAGCTCCCAATCTCCCATCTCGCCGTCCATGGCGCCTATCTCTACGTCGCCACCGCTCATGAAATCAACGTCTACGATCGAATCACTTTCTCTCACCTTACCGCATTCAACGATCGAGATTCATCCTCTGGTTCTGTAAAGGGAATATCCTTTCTACGCCGCGAAATCCTCACTTCTCACCAAGACGGCAAAATCCGCGTCTGGAATTTGAGTGAAAACAACAAACAATTCAAATTGGTCAACACTCTCCCTACAGTCAATGACCGTCTCCGCCGATTTATACTCCCGAGTAATTACGTCAACGTCCGTCGTCACAAAAAGGTTCTCTGGATTCAACACGCTGACGCCGTTACTGGACTGGCCGTCAACGGCGACTCTGTTTACTCTGTTTCTTGGGATCGGAGTTTGAAAGTCTGGCAAGGCTCTAACCACCGCTGTGTCGAGTCCGTGAAAGCAGCGCACGAGGACGCCATCAACGCGGTAGCCGTTTCCGCCGGGGGAACTGTGTACACAGGTTCAGCCGATAGAAAAATCCGAGTGTGGGCGAAACCGGAGACGGAGAAGCGTCATGTACTAGTGGCGACATTAGAGAAGCACAAATCGGCAGTAAATGCATTGGCATTAAACGAGGAGGGTTCGTTGCTTTTCTCGGGGGCTTGTGATCGTTCCGTTCTGGTTTGGGAAAGAGAAGACAGTGCAAACCACATGGCGGTGATCGGCGCATTGAGGGGTCACAGAAACGCGATTCTGTGTTTGATCTACGTGTCGGATTTGTTGTTGAGTGGGTCCGCAGATCGGACGGTGAGGGTGTGGCAACGTGGAGCAGATGGGAGTTTCAACTGCTTGTCAGTACTGGAAGGTCATAAAAAAGCGGTGAAATCGCTGGTGGTAGTATCGGAAGGGGAGTCGGACGGCGTCGTATCAGTGTGCAGCGGGAGTCTGGACGGAGAGCTGAAATCCTGGAAACTCTCATTTTCGCCCAATTCGAATATTATGAATTGCAGATAATGGATTAGGAACAAATTTTTTCTTTTTATTATTTTTTTGTTTTAATAATTTTCCAATTTTTGCATGTTTATATTATCAAGGTAATCGATATGGTCATTTTCGTCCTCTCTCGAGTTCAGACCAATCGCACCGAACATCATAAGTTTACAAGTAAGAAATATAATGTCTTCAATATTTATTAATTTATTTATAAGAAAAAGTAAAATTATATAATTTTAACAATATATTATAAAATTGAGGTCTCACAAGTTGGTATATATAATATATATATATATATAAAGAAAGGTGTAGAAGCAAAGATAATATCCATATGAGTTAGATGGTGAAAGACTTTTTGGGTTTGATAGAAAAAAGACAAAAAAAAAAAAAAAAAATTCCAATTGCCTTCTAGCTGGCCTGCCGCTTCATAAATAGTAATTTTTTATTTTTTAAATATTTCATTATATATATATATAACCTATAAAATTGAATTGTATTTTAAACTAGTTTATTTGATATAATATTAAAAAATTAAAAGATGTATTATATTTATTTTTTTTAAAGGAGGTCGTAATTCAATTAATGAGTGATTTAATAATAGAAATTAATAACTAATCTGTTCTCGAAGAAAGTGGATTTTGTCCTCTACCTCTCACCATTTATATATCCCATGTACTTAAATATTTTGGTTGGACTGTGGAGCATCTGGCATTGCTTGATGAGCTTAATTACTTAATTAATTCTTAATTAGCAACCAAAAGTGGCCTTCATTCCTCTTTAATTAACATCACCGAGAGAGCTTAAAAGCTATTCGTTCTTTAATTATCAATCTTGGCCCACATGCTTCCCTGATCTTGCATGCCTCTCTCTCTCTCTCTCTCTCTCTCTCACACACACATATGTCTATTTAAAAATTTAAATTTGAGTCGGGTTGATATATTGTTTGTTTGGGTTAATCTAACAAACTCGGAAACGCGTACTTTTAATATTATTATGAAAATTAAGAAGAATTGTGATTTGTGATATTTGAACGAGATTTTAGTTACTAAACTAATATATATTGTGGATAAACAGTATTTTTTTTTAAAATAATTAAAATAATAAAAAAAACAATCCCACAACCCATATGGATGCATACTTTAAGGTGGTTTTTTCTATGTGGACTCTTTGATAAATGAATAAAAGGTGAAACACCCGGTATCCTCAAAAAGCAGATCACTAAGGTGACTCCTAACCTAAGCAGGAGGCTACCACAAATCCCTCACAAAGAAAATCACCGCTTAGATTAGATTCAAGTCATACGTAAGTAAGAAGAACTGGAAGTCTAAGTAACTTTGCAGCTCCAGCAATCTAAAAAGCTCACAATCCAATTGGAAGGATAAGATCTCTCTACTGGAATACCTTGTCCTGAATCCAAGCCACCCGATGCAGGTTGTAGGCAACCTTCTAACTCTCTACGTTTCAATCCACGAGGGGCGTACAAAGAGAAGAATATTTTTTTAATGGATATCCACACATCATCAAAATCTCCCGGATCAAAAAGTTTTCTCCATCCCTATTTTGCTCTTCAATCAATTGATGCTTTCAGTGAGACCTCAACTCGAACAGTTGTGAGCTAAACTAACTATACAAAGAGAGTCAATGTCTTCTATCTTAAAGTAAGCAAGGGATAGAAGTCGAGCACTTCAGTTCGGGTTGCCTGGATCACCAAATTAATTAATCTAATTTTCAATCAAACCTAACCCATATACACTCGTGAACGAACTTCTATTCAGTCGATATTCAAATATTTATATAATTTTTCGATAACATGTTCATGCATGGTAAATGGATGATGAGTGATGAATTATTGCGAGTGAGATAAATAATAAATAATAAATAATTAGAAGAAGCAATAGAATTAATTAAATAATTAAAGAGCTTAAGAGAGAGTTGACTATTAGAACCAAGTTGGAGAAAACAAATGCTGTTGACTAATTAAAGGAGGAAGCGATCCAGTTGGGTCAAACAATTAGTAAGTTAAATAGAATTAAATATGATTTATATAAGCTTTAAAAGACATGAAATATTGGTACTAGAAGCTTCCTAATATTATCAAATTAATCAAAAATCTATTTTGTTGTCTGTCTCTGACTAGGAAAACTTGGATCGACCAACACCCACCGATTAAAATAATATGAAAAAAAGAAAAGCCATTAGTGGTAGCTCCCCCAACTTGCCCACTTGCTCAAACACCTTCAAATTTCTCTATCACTTTCTTATGCTCTAAATGGATGCATGATCTAGCTCGAACCCTCGTATAGTCGTCGTGATCAATGGGTTGTCTCGATTCTTGGGTAAGGTAAGAGTTTCAAATTTGATTTTGCTTAGTTAATAATTCAGGTTCAGGATTTAGAACTTACGTTTAACACATGATCCAAATTTTGTGTTACAAATAGTATCAGAGCGGTACCTCTTTTGTAAGATGTAGTTTAGAGACGAACCAAGGTTGAAGCTAGTGGGTATATGACATCTGAGTAAAAGAGAGGTAAATGAATAAATTGAGACCACATCCAGAATTATGTGTTTTGTTTGAAGCAATTCTATATTAGGGAATATTCTGAGAATGCGATGCATGTGAATGAGAATAAAACACGCACGTTTTATTTTGAAGTTCCTATAGTTGAGTCATAACACACACGTCTTGTTGATATAAATATTAACTTTGAATTCTTTTAAGCCTTTCTTAATAATTCACTTCATATCCTCATAATCCCTTTTATTCCAACGCAGGATTGGTTATTCATATAACCCTTTCTTTCTCATTTAATATATATCCACCAACTTCCACCTTAGTTCGTCTTTAAACCACATCTTGCCTAAAGAAATTCTAATGTGGTCATATCACAGAGAAAAGTTATACACTCAATTCAAGCGAGGGTCCGCCTCTTGCATTGTTAAGAAATTTCAAACCACATTCTTGGTTACAGAGAATCAAAGAGAATCGGACGATCTTGCTTTGTGATTCAATTGGGTAGTTTAGAAGCTTAGAGCCTCATGTTCATCCCACTTGAAACGAAGAAATGGATACTTTGGAGTGATATCTACCGTACACTATTCACACCCACTAGCACTAGTAGAAAAGGTAAGATTATGGACCACGAACCATGATGGTATAAGGTATGGAACTCAATAATTAGCCGTGGTTAGTGGCGCCAAACTTCATGAAAGCACAAAAGATAAAGATAGAAGGATAAAAAGCAGGCGTCTTGGGTGTGTTCCTAAAGCCCTCTACAAAAACCAGCCTGTGTTCTTCATATCGTGTGGAAATTTGGTAGTTTTTCTTCTTATTTGCCGGAAAGGAACTCAAGTTGGCTGTGAATGGAATATATATATATATATATCAAAGTGGTGGGGCTTCCAAAGTACCCTATTCTTGACTTCATCATTCATTTCTCTCTTTTTCTTTGGATTCATATACCCATATACACACACTCGTTCGGTGGATGCTTTCTTTGAATTGTCGTGTCGTTCTAAATTTAGAAATTTAGCCTTATTAAATAAATCCGTATACTTCAGTCGTACCCTTTAGTTTTCTTTTTCCAAATTGAATTTTCTTCGTATTCTCTAGGACTTTGAATATTGTAAGATAAATCGTTCGTTGATTCAACCCATTAAGATTCTTCTTTTCAATGTAGACGGTATCAGCCAATACGTGTATAACTCAATAATAATTGACACGTCGTCTTCTTCTTCTTGACATGAAATTGCATGTAATGATTTCTATAATAATTAACAATTTTAAATCTTGATTATCATCAACCGCCCCTATAGCTCAGTCTTGTAAACTAAAGGACTGTAGTTCGATCCCGCATGGGGCATATTAGATTTATTCACATAAATTGAGCAAATCCCAAACAATTACTCTACAAACAACTTAGGCACAAGATTGAACGACAAAGAAGAACCCACCATACTAATCATCGACCTTGTTGTGTCAAAGCTTCTAGTACTATTAACGAGCTTGAACCATTGACTACTTGGGTCACACGACGAGTCCCGACTCAAGCATTTACAAGCGTTGGTGACAATTTCATTAGTGTTTGGGTCCACGTCCAAGCAAACCACGGAGCCATTGTCGAGTTTCGAAGAAAGATGCATCTTTGAATCAGAAACCATATCCCATTGAGCATTTGAGACAGTACATATTATCCCCAATCTCGGCTGCTTCCCCATTTCCTGCGCTTGTATGCAAAAGTATGTGCCTTTGAGAGTTAAAAACTTCTGCGGCGTGTAGTACCAAGGATCAGAATCGGCGCATGGGCCTAATCTTAATGGGTCCAATAGCGACGCTCTCCCAACGCATAGCCCTGTTGATGGGTGGAACATTACACTATAAGGCCTTCTTTCGGCTAGCCCTGGGCCTTGGAAGGGTGTCTGCAGGGCGGAGATCCTTTGGAGGAAGCTAGAATTTCTAGGATTACACCAATTCCAATCAAGCAACCCGTAGAACTCGTTCAACCCAACAACCCCTTCTCTCAAATAGTAGCTTCCAACGAGCGTCCACACCGCCCAATCGAGGTCGTACTCGGCTGCGACGCTCAGGAAGCAGCTTAGATACCTGTTGTCGTTCACGTTGGTGCCTCTTTGGTCGACTCCGAATTCGGTCAGAAACAGAGGCATCCCCTGTTCTAAGAGAAATCCGGACATTTTCATTAAGTTGTTTACTACTCTTCCGCAGACTTGATTTGGGTTGCCTGATTGCCATGAGGAGCCATCTGAAAATGCATACCAATGAACCTCGTACACTAATTTGGCTGTGAATGTGAGGTTTATGGGCTGGTTTTTGAGAAAAGATAAGTCCTTGTCGAAGCTTAGTCCTGAGAGAATTACAAGAACGTCTGGGTTTGCTGCGTGAACTGCCTCGGCTCCTCTTTGCATGTACCTTCCAACATTGGTTCATCACATTCATATGAAATTATGATCAAATCTTGTGTTCATATGATTTTAGTACAAACCCATTCCTTTTACTTTCGAGTTTATCTTTGTTTTTAATTTCATTTCTAAAGTTAAAAAAAAAAAAACTTAAATTATAAGTTTAGTGTATAAATGGGAATCCTACCTTTTCAAAAAAAAAGTAAAAAATT